AACAACAACAACAACAAGGGGGCAATCAGTTCATGTTAGTGAGGGAGGAAAACTCAGAAAAGGAGGGTGGGAATGGTTGCACAGCTTGAAGAATGTAATCAATGTCCCTGAATTGTACATGTAGAAACTGTTGAATTGTTGTATGTTCTGCTGTGTATATTGTCAACAACAGCAGCAAAATAAATTTATAAAGAAAAAGAAAGCAATACCAGGAGCTGCCTCGAGTCACAGGAGGGTCAGTACACACCTGGGTGTGTTTAGGAATCCCCTCATGCCCTCATTCCTTCCGTCTAGGATCCATTTGGGGACTTGCTGAAGAAGATCATGGACCAAATCCATGACTACCTGGAGATGCCCGAGTTGAGCCGGAACTTCGGGACGCAAAAGTACGAGCAGCAGGTGGTGGAGCTGAGCCAGAGAGGTGAGAAGGGCTGCCCTACGAAGGGCGGGGCGTCAGGGGCGGGGACTGCCTCCAGGGGCGGAGTTGTATTGGGCTAGGGCTGCCTGGACCCTTAAGGAGACAGAACTCAGCGGTCCAGCAGCGGAGTCTGGAGCGGCAGGACGTGGGGGACTGGACTTCTCAAACCCTGCGCTCCTACCCTCAGCGGCGGAGGACGGGCTCCAGCAGCGGCGAGTGTGCGCGCTCCACCTACGTTGCTACAACAACGCACTGCTCATCCACGACACAGTCCGCGCCGTGGACGCCCTGGCCATGCTGCAGAACTTCTACGACAGGGAGAGAGCCACTAAGATCCAGGTGCTGCGTGCTGAGCGCTGGCTGCTGGCGCAGTTCAATGGTGAGGCACAGAACGGGCAGCACTGGACGAGTGGTCAGAGGCCAGCCTGGCCCAGGAAGGGGCAAGGATACTATGGGTCTTTGTTTTTCTAAACAACAGTCAGGTTGTGTATATAACAAAACACCTACTTCCTTATTTGTCAAGGTTTGCATGGATTCACATTATTGGCAAAGATTTTTTTAAGTTATTTCATTGGAACTGTCTCTGAAAGCCCTTTAGACTCGAAATGTGAGGGAGTCAGAGGGTGAAATTGGAGGCTGGAGGCTGGGGTCAAGGATCTTTCTGAAGGGACCGGAGAGGGAGAGTCAAACCTGAGTGGCAGAGGCCGGGGGCAAAGGTCAGGGATCAGCCTGTTAGCTAGACTGCAGGGGGTGTGGGTCTGACATATATGAATAAAGAATTCTCTACTGTAGGTCCTGTGGTAGGCTGGCCTTGAGGCAGGCCAGGGCAGAGCAGAGGGTGACCTTAGGCATGGTCTTGGTGCTCCCTCAGGGAGAACTGGGCAGGGGCAGGTATCCACTGCCCCCACCCTGTAGCCCTGCAGCCCTGCAGCCCTATGCCTGTGAGTCCCACAGTGCCCTGCCCACCCTTGGGCCTGAATCCTCTACCTCTGTTTCGGGTTTCCCTGCAGCTCACAAGAACAAGCTGGCCAACCTGGCGACTCATGGCCCAGAGAATCCGAAACTGGAGGTGCTGGAACAGATCCTGCAGAAACAATTTGGGTGCCATGACAGCCCCCGGGGAATCATCTTTAGCTGCACACGCCAGAGCGCTCACTCCCTCATGCTCTGGCTCCAGCAGCAGCCCGGCCTGCAGACCGTGGACATTAGAGCCCACCTGCTCATCGGGGCAGGGAACAACAGCCAGAGTGCCCCCATGACCCAGGTGTGGGGTTTGGGAAAAGGGCCTGGGGAAAGGGAGTTCCTTGGAGGAAAAGGAGGAGACAGGGTCTGCAGTGCAGAGAGATGGAGACAATGAGACCCCAGGAGGAGTTGGGACAGAAGGGCAGAGAGCTGGGGGAGAGGGCTGAACACTGAGGTCTTCAGTGCTACTGGTCCCCCCCACCTAGTTTGGGGGTCCTTGGTGAGAAGAGGTGGGTAATGCAGTTCTTTGGGGCAGATCAGGGACTTGGGTCCCTTGAGGAGAAAAATAGGATCTGGGAGTCCCTAGGATAGAGGAACAAGCACTCTTAAGGGTCCCCAAAGGAGATAGGGACTGGATGGTCCTCTGGGAAGATCAGCAAGATCCTGGGAGTACTTGGAGTAAAGGGTGAGACTCAGGGTCCCCAGGGAGAGGGTCTGAGATTATGAGTAGAAGAGCTGAACCAGGAGAGGCTGGGCTGGCAAGTAGCCCTGAGTTCCCCTCATGGACCTTCTCCCCCATGTTCTCCCCTCTATTTTCTGCCCCCACCCCAGAAGGAACAGCAGGAGGTGATCCAGAAGTTCCGAGTTGGCACCCTGAACCTCCTGGTGGCCACAAGTGTGGTCGAGGAGGGGCTGGACATCCCCCACTGCAATGTTGTGGTGCGCTATGGGCTCTTGACCAATGAGATCTCCATGGTCCAGGTGCCTACACACACCCACACCCAGTAGCCTTTAAAGAATCTTTTGTGGGACTCCAGCCCCACTGAAGTCCTTCCCTTGTCCCTCTCCTCAGGCAAGAGGCCGTGCCCGGGCTGGTCAGAGTGTGTACTCATTTGTGGCAGCCAAAGGCAGTCGAGAGCTACGGCGGGAGCTAACCAATGAGGTACAGGAGGCCCTAATGGAGCAAGCGGTGGCCGCTGTGCAGAGGATGGACCAGGCTGAATACCAGGCCAAGGTCTGTGGGCTACAGGGAGATTTGGGGCTTAGGGACAGCTCTCTGGTTGCATACCACTCACCTGCTTCCTCCTTCCTCTTGAGACTAAGCTGACCCATCTGGGGAAAGTTTGAATAGAGAGAAGTGTAGAGGCCAGGATGGTGCTGCCATGGAAGGCAATGGCTGGTCTCCAAGAGGCCTTGGGGAACAGGCCTTGTCCAGAGCTTTTAATTTATCCTCGTCACCAGATACTCTCTGTGAGAGCCATCTTACAGTCCTTGTGGAGCCAGGCAGAGGGGAAACAAGCAGACAGACAGAATAAGGCCATATAAGGATGTATAGCAGGTCCCCTGAGGCAGCATCACTGGTGTCCAGCCTTGTCCAGGATGCTCTGTTTACTCCTTTTGTTATCAACGATGCCTGTGTTTACTTCTGTTGTAATCAATGTTATCAATGAAGCCCTCCTTTGCTTTCAAAAGTGTCCCAGCTTGGACCAAAAAAAAAAAAAAAAGGACTGTTTACCCTCCCCTGGGGGTGATCTGTCTGACTCAGGTCAGTCTAAAAGATGCAGTTTAGCATGGAACCCTCCAAAGATGGGGCAGAGATCCATCTCGAAAGCTTATCTCCTCCCACTACCATCCCCCCACCCCACTCCCTGCAAAAGTCTTTTTCTCCAAAAGTGCCAGGGTGGTTAAGGAAAGTCCTTTGTGGGTACGAAGGATCTGAGAAGTTTGGGAATTTCTGGGGTCGGGTGTCTCGGGCCCCAGCTGGGACTCTCTGTTCGCTCTCACCCCAGATCCGGGATCTGCAGCAGGCAGCCCTGGCCAGGCGAGCAGCCCAGGCAGCACAGCGGGCGAGCTCTCGGCAGCAGTTTCCAGCAGAGCTCGTGCGGCTTTTCTGCATCAACTGCTCGGTGGCTGTGGGCCACGGAAGTGACCTGAGGAAGGTGGAGGGCACCCACCATGTCAACGTGAACCCTAACTTCTCGTGAGACTCATGAAAGGGGCTGTCAGGATGAAAGGAAGGGAGCGGTGGGAGGGAGGACTGAGACTCCCCGCACCTCAGTGGTTCTTTAAGGGTTTGGGAGGTCGAAGGCCATTTTAACTAGCTCTGAGTGTGTGTTCTCACAACAGTCTAGACAGACAGGGTTTGATCCCCACCTGTTTTACAGGCTAGGAATGTGAGGCTGGGAGATGCTAAGTGACTTGTCCAAACTCCACAGCTACTATGTGGTTGAACAAGAGCTAGAATTCAGTACATAAAACGCCGAGGGGCTACAAGGGGTACCAGGAACTTTGGTCCTACATTCTCCGAGGACCTCAAGAGGCGTAGGCTGTCCTGGAGCCATCCCTCATTCTCTGCTCCCTAAGGGTTAACTGCCACACACACACCCCACAAAACCTTTGTTCCCCATCCATCCATCCATTCATTCAATAACTTTAATAGGTACCTACTGTGTGCAGGTGCTGTGCCAAGGATTTTCACTCAGTTCTCTCTACTAAAGGAGGCAGCTTTTCAGCAAGGTCTCAGATGATGGGTTGGGTTTGGATATAAAAAAATAAGAAGACGAGTATAGGCAGGCATGTTGGAAAGCAAAAAGACAAGAATAATTCCAGTTGACCTAAGTGGAAGAGGTTGTGTGAATGATGAGATTTGGAAGGAAGACATATTAGCCTATGGAGGATTTTGAAGGTTAGGCCTGGAAGTGTAGCCCATTTACATTTTCAGAAGATCACTCTGGCAGTTGGTGGAAGGATGTATTGGAGATGGGAGTAAGGAGGGAGGCAAGTATATACAATTGGAAGCTATTGCTATCACGCTGGTGGGTAATGCTTAGGCCTGAACTTGGCTAGTGGCAGGCGGGATGGAGGCAGCACAGGCAGTCTTCACAATATTGAATACTGGACTTCCTGGCCCTCAAAGTTCCTGTGCCCCTTGACTCCTGGGAGGCAGGAAAGCCTATGGCCGAGGAGGAGAGTCTGAGCAAGGAGAAGAGCATAGGATCTGGGGCTGGAGGGTCCATGAGGGCTCCCCCACGTGGCCACCCCCATTCCTCTCCAGGATCTACTACACAGTCTCCCAAGCACCTGTGGTCATCAACAGAGTCTTCAGGGACTGGAGCCCTGGAGGTGCCATTAGATGCAGAAACTGTGGGGAGGTAAGTGCTTGGGCTGTGTCTCGGCTCCCAGTGTCCTTAGCTCCCAGAATGAAAGAGAAGGCCCAGGAGCTGTCCTCAGGAGCTCCCAGTGCAATGAGGGAGACAGCCTTGTCCCAGGAACCTCTAGTTTGAGAGAGAATGTTTATCGCCTGCCTCATGAGCCCCAGGTCTGAGGAAGGTGGTTCAGTCCCTGCCTTAGGGAGTTCACTGTGTGATGGGGGAGGTAGCTTTCAGTCTGGATGGGAGACACAGGACCCCCTATTCATGGAACCCCAACTTGAGGACAGAAGCCCAGTTCGAAGGCAGAGGCCCAGATCTTGCCCTTCTCTGTCCTACCCCCAGAGCTGGGGTCTGCAGATGACCTACAAGTCAGTGAAGCTACCAGTGCTCCGAGTCAAAAGCATGCTGCTGGAGACCCCAAAAGGGAGGGTACAGGCCAAGAAGTGGTCCCGCGTGCCTTTCCTTGTGCTTGACTTCGACTACGGGCAGCACTGCGCTCAGAGCCTATCGGACCTCTCTGAACTGGCCACCTTGTCACTACAGTGCCTGCCTCAGACTGCAGAGGGCAGTAGAGACTAAAGCAGCTGCCATCTTTCCCCAGGCAAAGCCTGAGTCCGTGCCATCCAGCCACAGAGGAGCACTGGGTGGCCAGGCTGGGTGTGGCACCCTCACTGAGGAAGCAACTGGAGGACCACAGCCCCACTTCACAGCCATATAGACACTTCCCAGTGCACTGGATGGAACTAGGGAGAACCTGGGGCAGGGGGTTACCACATGATACTAGGAATCACAACAGTTTCCCTTGGCCCCTCGTCAGCCCTTTTCTGCCATGTTGCTTCCATTTATTAAAGTGCCTCATAAATGAGAAAAATGGGATAGCTAATTTTCTGTATTTGAAAAACAGCTTCATGGATATAATTGACATTAAATAAACTGACATTTAAAGTTTTAACATATGTATCCTCCTCTACAATCAAGACTATATGACCATGGCCATCACCATTTACTGTTTTCTCATGCCCCTTGGAAATCCCTACCTGCTGCCCCTGCCCACCCACTGATCTGCTTTATGGTTTATTATATTAAAGTCTTAACCCCCCTCTTTATGGCTCTATATACAGCCTTATTTAGAAAGAGCGTCAAAAGTCTAAATTGAGGTCATCGTGAGTGTGAGGTCATTCTGCCCCCTTCACCCCATAACAGACTCCAATGCCCCCCTCTCATCCTACCCTAATCCCAAGGCCATCTTCCATGGGCTGTGGATCCAGGATTTGACAGGCAGGCTCAGGAGTTCAGGGAGGTGTGTGAGTGGGGGGGAGTTGCAAAAGCCTAAATTTTCTGTTCTCATTTCCACAGGAAAAAGAAAGACAAGATCTAGGTTGATTCTTCAGGGAAAGGGCTATTTCTGTAGTCAGAGAGGCCCAGCAGGCAGGAGTCACCTTCAAGAGGAAGGGAGGGGGCTTGGGCAGAGATTTGGAAGCAAGATGGCGGTCCTTCCTACCACCTAACCTTCCCTCCTGCTGAATCCTTGCTTTTGCTCAGTGAGGATGGGAAATAACCCACCCTCCTTTTCCCCAGCGTCTTCTTCCAATCAGCGTCTTGTCTAAGGGCTAACGTTCCGATAACAGTCTTTTTGGTCTCCATCCCATAGGAGATGTGTACCCCTCTTCCTGGGGCCTTCTTCTCCTAATGTCCCAGTGTCCCTTGGCCCCGGCCCCAGGAGCAACCCCTCTCCTCTTTCCTGTCCCATCTCCATTTCCCTGGCCCCTTCTGCTGCCACTTAGTTTTCAGTTATTATCCCACTTGCCAGCAACGTGCCTTTTACAGGTCAATAAAATTAGCGACTGGGGGTAGAGGGAGGGTGACAAGAGCTCAGGGGTGCTAAATTCACTGGCCTTGAATGTGGCTGGACGCACGGAGTCCGGACGCCTGTCATTCCAGGGCTAGACAGTGACAGCTGAGGACCTGAGCCGCTGTTAGGAGCAAGGGGGGTGTCGGGGGAGAATGTTGCAGGGAGAGAGACACGACAATGGCCGCCTCAGTGGTCTATGTCTCTACACAGCTGGCCACTGGACATGAGACCCTGCCTTTGGTGATGGTAGGGGTAGGGTCCTAACTCCTACCCACTCTACCAGTCTGCGAGAGCTTTATAGAGAAGAGGACCTCAGATGGAAGGGGGAACTTAGCAAGGAGGGATTTCTGTGCTGGCTTTTTCCTGTGAAGGGTCTCCAAGTCCAGGGCACGTGAGCAGGATTCCGGCAGAAGGGAATTTCATGAGGTCCTCAAGACTCAGGTGTCCTAACTTCCCAATCCTCGGAAAAACCGTGCGCCCGGCCTCCTTAGTGGCTCAGATGCTCCTTCTTCACTGGGAATGCGCCAGCCTGCTCCACCCGGCGGAGACCTGGGGAATGGAGGGGCTCGGTTGCCTCGCAGGCCCCGCCCCCGACCCAGGCTCCGCCCCTCCGCCTCTCCCAAACCGCTGCGCTCGCGAGCGCGCGAGAGCAGGTGGCCGCTGCGGGCTCCGTTTCTGCCGGACAGGTAAGTCTGCGACGCGGGCTGGTCTGCGCCGAGGACCTCAAGGGCAGGCGGGAGAGCAAAGCAACCCCTTCTACCTATTCTGTCACCTTGTCTCAAAACTGGAAGATTCCTAGGACAGTGAGGATAATTCTATCCCGGCTCTGCGCACGACGGTGGGCATCTAGCGGTGCGGCTCAGTTTGGGGAAGTTTAGAGGGTCCCAGCTGCCTTTCTTCCATGCAGTGGCTGGCCTGTGGGTGGGAAAAGATAGAGTCGGGCATTAGGGACGTGGCTAGGGAAAACAGGTTGAGAAGGTGGCAACGAGGTCTCTGGAGCAAGGGTACCTCATTGACTCGGTGCACCCAATGCCTCATCCGAGTTCTTCTTCGCTCGCGGTAGGGAGTGATGGTCAACCAAACGGCATCTGTTCTGGGGGCAAATGAGCGAAGAGCCGCTGTGTAGCTGGGGCCCGGGCTTTCCAGGCGAGCCCCTGGACACCTGTATCATTTCTGCCTGGGTACAAAGTGGGTGTAGGTGAGGGGGCTGGAGGAGCAGTGGTTATTTAAATGTCCCTGGAAGCCCAGAAAACCTGGGAAGTGCTTAGGTCTTTTCTATGTCCTGAGGGAGGTGGTCACAGATGTGTTCACAACACATGTTGGACCTCACAGACTTGGAGCACATATGCACCTCAGAGTTGAAACTTGGCTGTAGGAACGGGGACCTGCTTCCAGACCTCAAGAAAGACTTTCTGGAAGAAGAGGTCCTGGGCCTCCATCTCAGATGTGATGCCTAGGGTTAGGAACTGCAAAGGGAAGGCATTCTTTGGTGTGGGTTGGACTAGAGCAGAGGACCTTGGATTGTAGGCCAGAGAGAGGCCAGGATCCCAGGGCCTTCCAGAGATCATCACAAGCCTTTGGACAGACAGAGTGATATGGGGCAGGGGTATTGTTCGTGTCTGTCTAGCTTCCCTAGCCCATTGTCTCCTCCTATGTACACACTAGCATTACCGGGAAGTTCTTTCTCATATCTGACCTTCATCCTTTTTGCTTCTGTGCCAGCTTCTTGCTTCTGGGTGGCAAGGTGCTATAGTGGAAAAAGTGTGGTCTTTCAGCTTGGATAAACCTGAGTTGTCTCATCTACTGTGTGACAAATTACTTAACCTCTTTGAGTTTGCTTCCTCACCTGTAAAATGACGGTAATAATAGAACCCACCCCGTGGGGTGGCTGCAAGGATGAAATGAGAATACACATGTAAGGTGCTTAGCACAGTGCCTGGTGCCTGGTGAGGGCTCAACAAGTGTAAGTCCCTTTCTTGTG